TGTGAGAGAACCTTCTGCAAATTTGTGAGAGAACTGGGCGTGGCTAAATCTTGTTTCATTCTTCCGTAGCGAGTTACGAGCGAAAATGTTAAGGGCGAAAATGTCTCCAAGAGGTTTTGACCACCAACCAGATGTTGCAAGGTGCTAAAATACTCTCTACAACATCTATAAGAGGTAGTTCCTAATGCTAATTTGCTCGCCTTTGCTTGCCTTGCGTTTGTGCTCATCGATCATCTTCTCGTGCCAGCCCCTCTTCCTGCTCAACGCCGTATCACCCGCCGCGCCTCTCATATGCGACGGGCGATCGAGGCGCTCGGCGCGCGCGCGCGTCGCGAGCTCGGGTTTCGCGCGATCGCGCGTTCGTCGACGATGACGACGATGACGATGACGACGACGACGACGACGATGACGACGATTGATTCTTTCGTTCGCGCCGCTCGGCGATCGTACGGCGCGACGACGACGACGACGACGACGACGGAAGCGCGACGCGCGTCGACGGCGCGCGCGGAGAGGGAACCGAGAGCGACGACGACGAACGGGACGTCGCCGGAGCGGAGCGCGGAGGAGGTGCACATCGCGCACACGAGGACGCACGTGACGAAACATTTGTGGCGGGAGCGATTGCGAAAGGCGGAGAGTGGGAAGTTGGCGACCAAGCTGAGCGATAAGCTGGTTCCGCGAACGCCGCGCACGCACAGCGCGGTGTACGTGTGGGAGACGGATGAGGAAATGCGGGAGATGTATAGGTCGCACGGCGATGGGACGGTGAGAATGGGACGGATTTTGGAGGATTTGGATTCGCTCGCGGGGAATATCGCGTTCTTTCACGCCGATGATGACGATGACACGACGCAAACGCCACAGTTGGTGACGGCGAGCGTGGATAGGGTGCGGTTGAATCGACCGCTGTCGTTGGATAAGGACTTGGTGCTCCGAGGTGAGGTTGCCTTTGTGGGGACGTCGAGCATGGTGATCAGGATGGAGGGCGACGAGGTAGATGACGAGCAGACGGTCAACGCGACCGTGGATGATGCGCGCACGCCCGAGCCCGCGCTCACGGCTGATTTCACCTTTGTGGCGAGAGACCCCGAGACGAACGGACCTTGGCCGGTGAACCCGCTCATTTGCGAAACGAAGCGACACAAGGAGCGATTCCAAGAGATCCAGGCGTCCATCGTGCGCAAAAAGCTCCGCTCCAAGAAGGGCGATGCCGCTCTGAACGAGTTTCTCGTGAAACACCGCGCTGAGTGGGTCCGGGTGCAGCGAGACCGCGCATGTTTGATCATGGAGATGCCGGCGCTCACCGCCGGATACAACGAGGTGTTGACGTCGCAAACCGAGGTGGAGAACATGTTCGTGGCGCAACCGCAGCAACGCAACCTCTCTGGACGCGTGTTTGGCGGCTTTCTACTGCGTCGTGCGTACGAGCTCGCGTTCGCCAACTGCCAGCTCTTCTCGGGTGGGCAGCCCATGTTCGTGGAGATGAGCGACATCGATTTCAAGCTCCCAGTGAGCGTCGGCGACCTCGTTCGATTCAAGTGCAAGGTGCTGCACACGGTGAACGCCGAGGACGCTCGATGTGGCAAGCCGAGCGTGTACATCGAAGTTCGCGCCATCGTGACCAATCCTCACAAAGTGACGTCCGCCGTGGCGAACAGATTTTTCTTCAAGTTTAACGTCGAGGAGTTCGTGGACACCGACGGAGTCAAGACGGGCGAGCCCGTGAGACTTCGTCGGGTGCTCCCGCAATCCAACGACGAGGGTCTTCTGATCTGGGACAAATGCATCCGCAGAACGCTGTGCACCGACGACGATTTCGACCAGAGGAACAACTTGTCAACTTATATTTAATCCGCCGCACCGTGTAATGTTAACTGTTGTCGGACCAAGTGACGGGACGTTTTCGTGCGCACGAGGTCCCACACGACCGCGCGCCTCGAACGAAGAAATCCCGCTCGTCTCTCAATCCGCCCCGCCCATGGTCGTGCGACGTTCTTCCACGGGATATGCGTCACTTCCCGGTGACGACGATCGAGGCACTCTTAGCATTTTGAGGAGCTGCGACGCGTACGCCCATCCGAGTCGCGAGGCGTCCGCGTTCGTGGAGCCGACGGCCACCGGGGGGATATTCACTATCATCGTCACCGGTATCATCGCTGGATTGTTCTATCTCCAAGTGTCGACGCTCATGAGTACGCAGTTCGTCCAAGACATTGTGGTGGCCCGCGACTCGGTTGATATGACTCTGCCGGTGAACGTCCGAATCGACTTCCCCAACGTCGGCTGTGAATTGCTTTCGCTAGACGTCGTCGACGCGCTTCATTCGAGACGAATGGACATTACCGGAGATAACATTTACAAGCATCCGCTCAGTGGACCGCTTCGATTTATGAACCTGGAGCACGCTTCTCCAACGTTGGTCGATGTAGGACAGCACGAATTAGGGACGACGACGGATTTCGATCATTATGGAAATAGACGCATAGCATACGACATCGTGGGCGTCGAAGCGTTCGAACGAATGGTGAAGATACATGCGAGTGGCTTGCTCATGGTGAACTTTCACGCGCCGTGGTGCTCGCATTGTCGTGAATTTGCCCCAATTTGGGAACACGCGTCTGAGATGGTTCGATTAGAGATCCGACGCATCGGCAAACCACGATTGGCTCTTGGGCTCGCCTCAGTGGACTGCACGATCGAAGGAAACGATGATTTGTGTGCGAAGTTACACATTCAAGCGTATCCCGCGATACGTGTCTATCGTGCCGGCTCGCTCCATCCGTCTCGCGAAAATCAGACTTCACTGGAAGAGCGCACAGACGATATTCAGTTTGAAGTCTATCACGGTAAGAGAAGCGCCGAGGCCATCGCTACGTTCGCAGAATCCTTGTTAAAAGAAGTTGAAGCCGGTCTCGAGGGGGGTGACTCAGAGTCGAATCCGCAGCGCCGGCCTCTCGTCATCGGACATGATTTCGACGGCGACGGCTTGCGCGATTCCACCGTGCGCTCGCCCGGATGTTCGATCAACGGACAGTTCTCCATCAATCGTGTTCCGGGAGCGTTTTACTTTCATCCACGCTCGCGTTCGCATACCATCGGAGATGTCGATATGACGCATGTCGTGAAGCATCTCTCTTTTGGCACACACGCCCCGGGCGGTCCACGTCGTTTTGTCCCCAGGCATCTTCGCAAGGCATGGAAGCTCATTCCAAAAGATGCCGGTGGACGGTTTGCTGGAAAATTATCTAAGCCGATGCAGTTCGACGCCGACACGAGCGGAAGGACCGTTTTTGATCATTACGTCCATGTGATACCGCGCACGTATCATCCCGTGGGTGACGAACCGATCCACATCTACGAGTACACATTCAGTAGTCATGCGTTTAAGTTGCGCGACGACGCGGCCGAGCGGGAGTTATCTCGCAATTATCGTACCGGTGGCGAAATTGATCGAGAATTCGGTACGGATGACTTCCGTCGACCGGATGGACCTTCAATACGATTTTCATACGACATTTCCGCCATGGGCGTCGTCACGCGAGAGGTTCACAAAAATCTTCTTGAGTGGATTCTAGGATGCAGCGCAATCTTAGGCGGGCTCGTTACGTGCAGCGTCGGTCTCGAGCGCTTTGTCTACGCGAGCTCGCGCGCGGTGAAGCGAAGAATAGGAAAAAGAGATTGATAAAAAAATGAAAGACTACCGTACACATCAACACGTCGCTACGCTCGGCTTTTGAGGCTCATCGGGACCGTCGGGCACGGTACTGAGAGCATCTACGAGCGATGAACCAACGTGCGCGTTCGCACACAGCACGCGCCTGGCGCACACATCGAAATCCTCGCCAGAGGGATCGAGCACGACCCCTCCCGCCTCGCGCACGATGACCGCGCCTGCGACGCAGTCCCACGGCCCCCCGAACCCGATCTCAAAAAAACCATCCAAACGTCCCATCGCCACCCCACACATGTTCATCGCACACGACCCCGAGCACCGAACGCTCCGCGCGTGTTTCGTCAGCGCACGCAAGCGTCCCATGACGGCGTCCACCGTCGCCTCGTCCCTGTGCACGCCGATCTCCGTCCCGATCAACCCCCGGCCGAGCTCCGTGCACGCGCTCACCGCGATTGCGTTCCCGTTTAACCGCGCTCCACCTCCCAGCGAGGCTTCGAACGTCTCGTTCAACGTCGGATTATGCACCACTCCAACCGCCGGCTTTCCGTCGACGCACAACCCGACCGAGACGCACGCGAACGGAAACCCGTGCACGAAATTCGTCGTCCCGTCCAGCGGATCGACGTACCACGTCCGCCGCGTCGACGGGCGCAGCGTCTCGCTCCCGTGCGTCTCCTCACCGACGACGTCGTCCTCCGGGAAGGTTTCACGAATCATCTTAAAGATGATCTCCTCGCACTTCTTATCCGTCGCCGTGACGAGATCGACCGACCCTTTGTACTCCACGTCGCGCTTGGACGTCCACGCGTTCGATATCTCTCGCCCAGCCGCGAGCGCGCACGCTCGCGCGCACTCGAGTTCGCGTTCGAGCGTCATGCGCGCGGTACAGTGCGGCGCCGGTGACATTCATCGCTCCCGACATGTCGCGCGCGGACGACGCCGCCGCGCCGTCGACGATCGCATCGAAACCATCCTTTGACGTCGACTCCGAGAGCGCGTTCGCGCGGACGCTGAGAGAGCACCGAGACGACCTGCTGGTTGTGAATTACACCGCGAGCTGGTGTAAGCACTGTGAAAAGCTTCGACCGACGCTGGATGCGTTACGCGCGAGGGGTGATCGAGGGGTGGTGTACGTGGACGCGGACGTGGACGCGCTCCCGTTCACGGCTCAACACGTGCGGTGGACGCCCACGGTGGCGTTTTATAGGAAGGGAAGGTTGGTGGACGACGTCCCGAGAGCGCGGCCGCAACAGGTGAGCGATCGCGTGTGGCTGCACTCGACGATCGATCCGGACGAGCGCGGGGGGTGGGGGGTGATGCGATGAGGGCGTCAACGCGTGATCGGTGGATTAGTCTATTAGCGGGAAATGTGCGCATTAATGAGAAGATGCCGCGGTCGATACTGGTAGTAGTCGCCGCTTCTAATATTCTGCGAGCGCCTTGACGCGAACGTCCTCAGACATGGAATCCCAGTATCCCTTGAACGCGACGGCGACGACATTATTGCCGAGCTCGAGTGTCCACGTGTTCGGGGCACCCGCGGGTAAGACGGTGAGCGCTTTTTCGCCCTCCAACAAATCCTTCAGGAGCTCCGCCGAGACGGAATCATCAACTTCGTCTTCGTCCGAGTCGAAGCGTTCGGCGGAGAAATCGCCGTTAACGCCCATGTGACTCTTAAGAGAAGCGCATGTTTCCCTGATCGCCGCGCGCGCCTCTTTATGTGTGTCTTTCGCGCCTCCCTCGGTGAGTGAAGCCACTGCACGTTGCGTCGGCGTCATCGCTTCCAGTCTCTTTTGCTCTTGCTTGATCTGCTGCGTCGCTTCATACTTGGCCAAAGCCTTCTTGATCGCCGTTTCGATCTGCAACAGGTGTGACATGTGGGGCGGGATGCTCAGATTACGGTTCTTTGGAGTCTGCTCGATGGTGGGAAGGATGCGGTTGGCGAGTAAATCAACAAACTTTTGTCGTATCGCTCCGAGCTTCACCTTAGACTGCCGCACCGACTTCAGCGCCCGACTCAGCGGAGCGTGGTACTTCTCGTTCAACTCGTGTACCTTGAGCCAATAATCCGATGTGGGCTCGACCATTGCCGCCTTTGCCCTCGCCGCCTCGGTGGCTTGACGCTTTGCCGCGTTGCCGCCGTCCTCCGTGGCGTTCGTTGTCATGAGGTTCGTGACGAAACCTTGCAACTCGGAATTGATCGAAAACGCGCTCTCGCGACGCTTCATCTCCAACCGCATCGTGATATACTTGAAAACCCACTCGTCGAGGTAGCCTCTCAACTTTTCGTTGTATATTCTCTTCTTCTCCTCCCCTCCTTTGGCCGTGATGAAATCCCTCGCGATCTGCGACGTCTTTCGGTTCGCCTCCAGCCACTTCGTCAGAGCGTTCGCGCGCAAACGCTTCTGCACATCTGCGCCGACGGCGTAAAAATACCGCCGTCCCTCCTCGTACGCGTAACCGGTCGCCGTCGCGTCCGAGGTCTCCGCTCGCGCGTCTCGCGCTTCCGCCTCCCTCGGCACCTTGTGTTTCGCCGGCGCCTCAGCCATGGTCTGCCCTTCCGCCTCCAACGCTCGCTTCGCTCGCTGTTTCACGATCTGCTCGTTCATGCTCTCGATTTTTTGTCTGATCTTCCGCTCGTACGTCTCTCGGTCCGTCGCGCGATCGAATATGATCCCCTCCACCTTTCTCGACGCCGCGCGCGCGTTCGACACCGTCACGTCATCGTACGGCGGATCCTTCGCCGTGAGCATCACCGTCAGCCTGCGTGTCCGTCCAGCGCGCGTCGTCGCTCGTCAGTCACCGTGGTCTCCGCTTCACCCAACGCTCGCAGTCGTCAACCAGCCGTCGTCTCTCGTCCCGGCCCGCGTCGTCGCGACGTCATCGCTGTTTCACCGCACGCACAGCTGTTGGACGTTATCATCTCGATCGACGCGCGCGCGCCACTCGTCGTCGTCGGCCATGACGAGCGCGCGCGCGAGGGAAAGTGAAGATCTTGGTCGGAGATTCGGCGAGCGCCCAGTGATTGAGTGAGTAAACGTTCGCCTTCGTTGACGTTACCGCGACGGAGAGAGATTTTTCGTTACAAGAGTGGCGTATGAGCGTTCCTCCGTCGATCGTTCGGAGCGTTCGTCCGTCGAGCGTCATCTCGAGGTCGGCTCGGGCACTCGCGCTTTGGTGGTCACCGCGAGCTTTCCGGGAACGTCAGCAGAGACGTCCACGACGGCGATTTGGTCATCGATCACGTCTCCACGGAGAATGGCCTGCGCGATGGCTGTCTCCAACAAGCTCTGGACGGCGCGCTTCACGGGACGCGCACCAAAGGCGGGATCGAAACCAGCGTCGGACAAGAGCGTTACCGCCGCCGTAGATACCTCGAGACCAATCTTGCGATCCTTAAGCCGATCGGCGACCCGCATTATTTGTTGCTCAACGATAGCGGTGACCTGATCCTTGGCGAGCGGATCAAATACAATCCATTCGTCCACACGATTGATGAACTCTGGGCGGAAATGACCGCGCACGGCCTCCATGACGCGTTCACGACGTGTGTCTTTGGAACTTTCGTTGGAATCTAACACGTACTGACTGCCGATGTTTGATGTCATGATGAGAATGGTGTTCTTGAAGTTGATAAGGCGTCCTTGCGAATCCGTGACGCGACCGTCGTCTAGGATCTGAAGCAACACGTTGAAAACGTCGCCGTGCGCCTTTTCCATCTCGTCAAAGAGCACGACGGAATACGGTCGCCTGCGAACCGCTTCAGTGAGTTGCCCACCCTCCTCAAAGCCAACGTATCCGGGAGGTGCGCCGATCAAGCGACTCACCGAGTGTTTCTCCATGTACTCGCTCATATCGATACGAATCATCGCCTCTTCGGTATTGAACAAGAATGAGGCGAGCGTCTTACACAATTCCGTCTTACCGACCCCCGTTGGACCGAGAAACATAAAGCTCGCGATAGGACGGTTCGGATCAGAGAGACCCGCGCGCGAGCGTTGAATCGCCTCGCACACAGATCGCACAGCTTCGTCTTGACCGACGACTCTCTTGTGGAGCTCAGCGGGCAAGTCCAGGAGTTTCTCACGTTCACCTTGCTGGAGTTTCGAAACCGGGATCCCGGTCCACTTTGAGATGACATCGGCGATATCGGTTTCCGTGACTTCGTCTCGCAACAGCGTCGGCTCTCCTGATGAGGTCGCCTGCTCGAGCACCTCCTCCGCCTCGTTCAACTTTCGTTGGAGGTTCATGAGCGTACCATACTTCAGCTCTGCCGCCTTGTTGAGGTCGTACTCACGCTCGGCACGTTGAATGCTGATCGCCACCGAATCTATCTCCTCTTTGAGGGTCTGAATCGCTTTTAACTTGTTTTGCTCACCCTGCCACTGACTGTTGAGCTCGGCTTGCTTCACGCTGAGAGACTTCAAGTCCGTGTCGAGTTTATCGAGCTTGGACTGAATCGATCGCTGATCGCGAGCCGCCCCAGGGCGGGACAAAGAAATCTTCTCCATCTGAAGCTTGAGAATCTCGCGATCGATTTCATCAAGAACCGTTGGTTTGGAGGTGATTTCCATCTTCAACTTTGCCGCCGCTTCGTCCACGAGATCGATCGCTTTGTCGGGTAAAAACCTGTCGGCAATGTACCTGTCGCTGAGAGTTGCCGCGTCCACAAGAGCACTATCGGATATGGATACCCCATGATGGAGCTCATAACGTTCGCGCAAGCCACGCAAAATGCTGATGGTGTCCTCCACCGACGGTTGCGCCACCAAAACTTGTTGAAATCGGCGCTCCAGCGCGGGATCCTTCTCTATGTACGTCCGATACTCATCCAACGTCGTCGCACCGATGCATCGCAGCTCTCCTCGTCCGAGCATGGGCTTGAGCAAGTTGCCCGCATCCATACCATTGCCTCCGCCTCCTCCGCCGGCGCCAACGACTGTGTGAATCTCGTCGATGAACAAAATTATCTTTCCCATCGAGTCGGCGACTTCCTTCATCACCGCCTTGAGTCTGTCCTCGAACTCTCCGCGGAACTTTGCGCCGGCGATGAGCAAGCCCATGTCCAGAGACATAATCTGCACGTCCTGGAGGGACGTTGGGACGTCGCCACTCACCACGCGCTGCGCAAGTCCCTCCGCCACCGCCGTCTTCCCGACGCCGGGCTCTCCGATGAGCACTGGATTATTCTTTGATCGCCTGCTCAGAATTTGAATCGTTCGTCGGATCTCGTCATCTCGACCGATCACGGGATCGAGCTTTCCTTGCCTCGCTTCCTCGGTCAGATCCCGCGAGTATTTTTTCAAAGCCTCGTACTTGCTCTCGGCGTCCTGATCCGTGACGTTCTCGCCCCTACGAAGTGTGATCACCGCCCCCTCGAGCGAGGCGTACGTCACCCCCAAATCTGCCATCAACCCCTTCCCAAACCTCTCGTCCTTCGCCAGCGCGAGCACGAGATGCTCGATCGCCACGAACTCGTCTGACATGTCCTTCGAGATGTTTCTCGCGTCATCCACGAGCGTCTCCAAAAACCTCCCCAACACCTGCTGCGGCGCCCCGCTCACCGTGGGTTGCGCCTGAATAAAATCCCTCGTTTTTGTGAGCACGACTTTCAAATCCTTCACCCCCGCTTGGGCGAAGATGCGCATCGCGAACGACTCCTTTTGCGAGCACACCGCGTCGCACAGGTGCTCCGTCTCCACGATTTGCTGATTGTATTGCTTCGCCGTCTCCGGCGCCGCCACGATGGCGTCCCACGCGCGCTGCGTGAACTCATTCTGCGATATCTTCTTCCCGCTCGCCGCGGCCTCGACGACGATCGACCGTCGCGTCGGTCGCGCGAGCTTCCTCCCCGCCCTCGCGTCCGTCGCGCGCGAGATCGTCCCTTCGCGCGCGCCCACGCGCGCGCGCGCGCGCGCGATCGCCCCCGCGCGCGTCGCGGTCGATCTGGACATTTTTGCTCCTTCCGCCCCCGCGCGCACCGGTCGCGATTCCGCGCGCGCGAGATGTGCGGCGACCGCGCGCGAGGTCGCGCGAGCGATGCGCGAGGTCGTTAGAGCGCGACGACGACGCCGACGATGCCGACGCGTCCGACGTTCGACGTGCGCGTGGAGCCGACGCCGCGGGCGGAGGCGAACGGGAAAGACGTCGACCGGCTCGGGAACGCGTTATCGGTGCCGACGGCGTCGGCGGCGGTGAACGCGCTGCGGGTGCGAGCGTCGGCGAGCGGAGGATGGGTGCGCGTGGAGGCGCGAACGGGGGATGATTTCGGAGACTGGGACGCCAAGGAGTGGGTCGAGCGCGCGGTTGGGATGCGAAACGTCTTGCGGTGCTCGAGCGGGACGGAGACGCGGGCGTTCGCGGTGGAGATTGAACCGGAGAGGGAGGCGGGTGAGAACGCGGAGCGGTGCGCGGAAAAAGTCGCCGACGCGGCGAGAGCGTTCGCGGCGTCATCCTTCGTCATGGAAGATCATAACGACGGAGACGACGTGGACATGGGGTTCTGAAGGCGCGAACGACTCGGCTCGATCGCTCGATCGAGCGTGGAATCTTTGGTCGATCGACTAGACGTCCCGGCGAGTTCCTCTGGTGCCGCAGAGTGAGATGCGCGTCGCTCGTGCGATGGCGCGCGGACGTGGCAGCGACGTCGCGCGCGTCGTGCGCGTCGTTCTCTGCGTCGCGCTGTTCGCGTGCGCCGGCGTCGCGCACGGTTTCAAGTTTACGAGCGCGTTTAAAGAGAAGATTGCGCCGAAGGGTAAAGACGTTCCGCGCTCGGTGTGTTTCGTCGCGGCGACGATTCCGTGGGGGTTCGGGGCTTATCAAGCACAAACTTCGGGCGTCGCGCGCGCGTTCGCCGATCGCGGGCACAGGACGTTTTGGTTGCCCAGGGTGCCGGACGTGCGATTGCCAGAGGGGACGTACACGCTGGAAGAAGCCCTGAGGGCTTTTAAACCGGGTGTTCGAAGACCTAACCCGAACGAGCGCGAAGAATCGAAGCATTTGACGTTTCTGGGCGTCCCTAACGTGGAGAAAGTGATGTCCCCCGGGATCAACGCTCTCGGATTGACCATGCAAGAGTTGAACAGGCTCGCGACACTAAATCGTATCGACGCGTTTGTGTTGCTCATGGACGTTGGGAACATGTATTTGGACGCGAACGAGTTCAAAGTACCGACAGTTATGTGGATGCCGTATCATCACGAAGTCCCCGATTCGTCTTCGCCGATTCTGTCGATGTACTCAGCCGTGGCGGCGTTGTCCGATACGACTGGACGAGCCATCGAGCTTGTGCAACCTCTCACGCGAACGATCCCGCACTTCATCGATCGTGCGGCTCTGAATGCGCGAGCCAACGCGTTTGATGCGAACGCAAAGAGAGAGAAGGGTGTCAGCGATGATGCCGACGAAGCGACGATTCGAACAGCGATTCGACGGCGTCTCTTTGACTCAGTTGCGTTGGATAAGTCTTACAAGCGGAACCTTGATGAGATAGATAACGACACTTTTCTGGTACTCATGCAAGGAGGGAACTACGAAGATCAAGATAGAAAAGGTTGGGTCGCTTCCATTCACGCCTTTGCGCAATTTCAGCGTGAAAACCCAGATTTGAAGACGCATCTGTGGATTCACGCCGTCGACAGCGCCATGACGCAAAACGACATGAACGATGGATCCAAACCGCCCGTCGCAGTGGTGCGCACTGGAGTAGCTTTGCGCTTGGTGCTTCAACATGCGGGTATTCCGGATAATATGTACACCCTGGACGAAAACAGGCACGATGTGAGTCGCACGACGGCTTTGAAGAGACACGCCGACGTGTGTTTGCACACGTCTAAAGCCGAAGGCTTTGGTATGGTCGTCTTGGAGTGTCAAGCTCTGGGCACGCCCGTGATCACGACCAACTTCACGGCGATGCGAGATTACACCAAGTATGGAATTGCGGTCGAGCCTGCGGCGTTCGAATCTATTCAAGGCTCATACTGGGCAGCACCAAGCGTGCCAGGCGCGGCGCATGCGCTGACCGTCATTTCCACGGGCGCCGCGGAGCTTCCTCCGCTCGAGAGCGTATTCGCTTGGATCGATGACGTGTTCGCCTTGGATACTATCACAGAGCAGTTCCGACAGTTGTTGACCGAGGCAAAAGTGGCTCACAGTCAACGCAAACCTTGGGCGCTTGAAGATACTTTCGCTGAAAGGCCGTTTTTCACTGTCACCACGGACGAATATCCACGTTTGGTCGATTGGAGCACGCCTTGGACGATGTATCATCATCCCGACGTCGAAGTGAACTATCAATTCATTCAATACATGATGATTCAACAGACGAAGGATCAATATTACGGCATAGTCGTTGCTCCGACATCTGCAAATGGACGGTTGCTTCCAATGGATGTGGGAGATGGCGTGCACAACATCAATCCTCATTACGTCGTTCTCATGCCTACGTGGATAATGAAACAGTTGCAGACACAAGCTAGTTACGTCTGGGGAACGGCTTTCCGCGCTATGGGGTCGGTATCATCGCAAAAATACATGCTCATGTTGCCGGAGGGATACGCGAAGATGAAGGTTGACGCTCAAGCCACGAATGCGCGCAACGATGAATTATAGCAACGATCCGATTATCAAGAAACTTCAAATTTAGAACAAGACTAGGTGGTTTGTACAACATGATCGTAGGGCTAACTAATCCTGATGATCGGTATCCTTCGAGAAGCTCCCAAACTTCTTCTTCCTCATGGCAAACGTGCGCTTGGATCGAAGCGTGTTCACGGTCGCTGTGAAGTTGCCGATGGCCATGAGAGTGAATAAGACGCCCGCCACGGACGCCTGCCACTCGCGCATGACATGGCTCTCGATGCGATAAGTCGTCCAAACGACCCAAAGCACGCTCGTGCCCACGGACAACTGCATCGCTTGCAGACCGAATAAGAGCGGGTACAAGAGTTTAAGCTGCCCGCCGGATAACTCGCCCGAGGCGACGTCCATCGGCGACGCTTTCCCCATGGCCACGCGCGTGTACATTCGGAACCTCTGGTACCTGTTTTGCACGAGCATCACGATCCCCTGGAGCGTAGTGAATGTGAGAAATCTCGAAGTGAACGCCTCGCACGCGGGCGAATCCAACTGCATCGTCAGCACGCACAGCGACATGGCCGCGCTGTAGTAGTGATGCTTGATCCACCACGGACGAATCGTCGACCCGTTCACGCGCAGAATGTTCTCCCTGAGCGCCAATGCGGTGTAAAAATACAGCAACCACACCCAGTAGAGCTGCAGCGCGATCGGATAGAATGCTCGCAGGTACCCGATTTGCGTCGCGTCCAGCGCCCGCGGCCGCACGCGCTCCGAGTACCCCAACAACAACGCCAGAGGTGCGAAGACGTACACGAGCGTCATCCGGTCCCGGAACTGATAGTACTCCTCCTTCAATCTCAATCGCGATTCCTGCCTCGCCGAGCTCAGCTCCACCGCGCCGCCGACGAAGAGCTTCAAAAACCGCGACCGCCGCGTCTCCTCCTCTCTCGCGCAGTACCCAAACAAATCCCCCCCGGGTCCGGCGCCCTGGATCACCCGTCGAGCGCCGTACACCGCCCCTCGGACCTCATTCGAATCGCACGTCGGGTCCTCCGTCTCGACGCATCGTTCGAGCTCGCGCAACGATTCAATCAGCGCGTTCAAATCGGATTTAATCGACTTTGTGTTCGAATCCAACTGCGCGACGCGACCGGAGATCACGTGCGCCTTGCGCTCGAGCTCACGCGCGCGCTCCGCGGTCTCGCGCGCGGCGTCGGCGTCGGCGGGCATGGCGCACGGCGATTAATGACGGTGATTATCGATCGCTTCGACAGAGTTCTCGAGTCCGCGACGCGCGTCGCGTCCATGCTTCGCGTCGCGTTCGCGCGCGTCGGACTCGGACGTCACACGGCGTCGCGCGCGCGATGGGCGTCGATCGACGCGCGCGATGCGGCGTCGAGGGCGACGACGAGGACGTTTGGAGGCTTGGACGCGTTGCGGTTGAGGTTCTTTGCGTCGCGGATTCTACGCGACGTCGCCCCGGGTTCGACGATTCGAGTGGAGAGCGCGATGGATGACGTCACGGTGGAGGTGGTGCCGGCGACCGCGCCCGGGGAGGAGATGGAGGTGGAGGTGACGATGAAGGATGGACACGGTTCGGCGGCGGACGCGGGCGCGCGGGCGGAGGGCGTCGGTGATCTGGGCGACGGATTCGACGTGCGAAGAGAAGGGGAGAGGGGCGAGATCGTGGTGGTCACGGATGGGCGCATCGCGGGGACGTCCAGAGCGGTGACGATCAGGGCGACGATTCCGCCACGCTTTTGCGGGGTCGACGCCGCGCTCGACGGGAGAGGTTCGAGCGTTTTTGTGGAGTCTGTCGTCGAGGCGGGATTGAAATTACGCACGAACGGAGGAGACGTTGGGTTAGGGACGATCAAGGGATCGATCATGGACGTGGAGACGCGCGGGGGGAGCGTGCGCGCTCGCTCGAGCGTGAGCGCGGATTCGAGAGTGCAAACGCAGGGTGGGGACGTCATCATCGGCGGGAAACTCGTCGGTTCCGTCGTGTACGTGGACACCGAGACCGACGAGGAGGGACGTGGGGGGAAGTTCCAGGTCGAGGCTGTGTTCGCCGATAAGATCAACGTCAACACGGGTGGCGGCGCGGTTGCGGCGAAGAGCGTGCGCGTCGGCGAGTTCGGACTCGTGCGCTCGGGAGGCGGGGACGTCGTCATCGGTGCGCTCGAGGGTGCGGGAGACGAGATGATAGGGATAGATTCCGGCGGTGGAAGCGTGGACGTCGCGTTCGCCGAGCGCGTGCACATTGCGCACGTGAGCTCTCGCGGCGGCGCCATCGAAGCCGCGTTTCCGAGCGGTTTCTCACCCTTCCCCCATGTCGTCGGCGTCCACAACGGCGTTCTTGTCGACGACATCGTCACTCTACCCAACCCCGCCATTGAACATCCGCGCGGCGTTCGCATCGTCCACGACGACACCGACGTCGTCGCCCGCAAGGTGGCTGCCGGATCCGAGGGCGCGAGCGTCGTCCTCGACGCCCGAGCCGGCCCCGTCCGTCTCCGCGCCGATTCCTGGTTCGCCCGCGCCGTCGCCGGTCTCACTGACCGCTCTTGATGTAAGATTATGCATTTCATTCGTTGAATCCGCGACGCGCGTCGTTTCTCTCATCCTTCACGCGCCCGCTTTATTCAAACGCCTCAAATCCAGCTGTCGCTCCGCGCGCGCCAAGGATTCATCATTCGATCGCGCCGCACTCGCCGACGTCCCCGTTACGGGGCGCCACAGCGCGGTCAATGTCGAGTCCGGGCATCGACGACGACGTGTCGTCACCGCGCGCCGCATCACGGCGCGTCGGCGTCGCCGTGTCGTCGAGTGTACGACGAACCGCACCGTCGGTCGAGGCCGATGGTTCCAGCGCGCGCGACGCCGTGGACGCGAACGCGCGCTCGAGCGCGCTCGAGCGCGACGGCGCATGGGAGCTTTCGGACGTGAGCAGCGATGACGGAACGGAGATGTCGGAAGATGCGCGCGCGCCGACGTACGCGCGCGGCGCGCACGGCGCCGCGTTGGCGGCGGCGGCGTGCGCGCGGTGCGATTTGGTGCGTTCACGCGCGACGACGGAAGTGACGACGACGCGCGAGTGGCGATGAGTATGCGATCTCGGGACTGACGGAACGATCGTTGGGATCGTGCGATGCAGGTTTCGTTGAGTTACGCTGTTCTCTTCTTGACGATGTGCGCGTCGACGCAGCCGACGGAGCGGGCGATACTTCGCTCTTCGAAAACGGCGGCGGTGAGCGGGTTCGTCGCGGGGGCTTTTATTTTGGCGCACATTATCTTTCAAACGTTGATAGCGATCGTGAGCGAGACGCCGGAGACGTGGTTTCGCGCGTTTGGATTGCAGAAGTTTTCCACTCCGAGCGTGGTGGCACGGTCGCTCGTCCCGGACGCGCTGTTGTTCGTGTTTTCTTTCTGGGTCAGGGCGGAGCTCGCGCGGGAGCTAGATGCGATGAAAGATGACGAGGGACCGCGTTCGACAGCGATCAACACGTGGCTGCACGAAATGCTCTCGGCTGTTCTCGGGCTCACCGAGCACGAGCTCCGAAAGTCGGCGCAAAAGTGGTGGCGTCTACTGGGTCTCATTTGTTGCGCCGTCACTGGTTACTCGGCGAACGGCGTGGTGCAGTTTTTCCTTTTCATCTCCGTTTACACACGCTTCGTCGGCGGACAGGGCGACGTTCGTATGTCGAAATGGACGCGTTTTCAACACAGAATTTCTACAACGGAAAAGATGCAAATTTGCACCTACATCATCATCGTGGGTTCGTACATCTTTACTTCGCTCGAGAACACGTCTCAAGTGCTAGAGAATTCGAAAGTCGCGCAAATATTAGGTTTCTGGAAGATAGGAAACGGAGGGCGCATTTGTTGCATGTCCGCTTCCGAGACGGTTGGATTTGTTTTCGCTTGGCTCGCCAACATTTGCTTCGCCGTCGCTATATCGTACGGCGACACCGACGTGTCTTTCACTTTCACAGAGCTCGCAGGTTTTAGCGTTAAGCGGGAAATGTACAGCCCGTTGCTGTATGTTCCATATGTCGCGGCGGCAATGACATTCACGGGGCTTGCAAACGTGAGAGGATTTTCCATTAGCGTGATACAGATTGTGGATGTCAGCACGGTGCTTCTCACGACCCTATGGATGCTTGCGTCTGCCAGAAGACTCGTCTGCAAGTCCGGGATCGGTGCGTTTTCTGAGAAGTGGGTGTTTCGTTTGCGAATTGTCTTGGCGCGCTACCTCGAATTTCAGTATGCATACCTCGCATTCTTGTACATTTGGAACATTCCAAAAGTTGCTGAGGCGTTGACGAAGGCGTGGCCGGTGAATTTGCGTAGAAACCTCACGCCGTACGATTTTGGCCTCATTCCGGTTACCGCACTGCACTCGTGGAAGCACATGTATCATCGTTATTTGACCATCATGTTGTGCGCGATGCTGTGGTACTGGTTGGACAAATGCGTGAAAGCGGAGGATGGCGACGAAATGAATCTTCACGCGTACATTGGAGAAGATAGTCAAAGATCCGAGGATGGCTCGTTTCGCGCAAAAGCCATGCATGAGAACGTGGAAACGACCAAAAGAATCGACGACATGAGTCCATTCGAGATCGTGTATCAAGCGTACGCGTGCATGATGAAACACGTCCGGGATTCATTGGGCGACAAGTTCGAGGCGATTCTGCACCAGTCTTCTATGGAGGTTCTTTTGCTGGTGGCGACGATAGCCATTGCGTTTCGAGTCGACGTCCTCAGTGTGCTATATGTCGTGATGATCATGTTTGCGTGCATAGAGCTTGCAGTTCCTACGAATCGAGGGAAGCCGCCAAAGCCGCTTCGGCAGGGCACTCTCGGAATGCTAAAAACGGCATTGCGGGTTCTGACTGACGCATGGCGATACATAAAACGGCTTCGACGGCGAAATGGTTCCCAAATCACGTCTGAAGATTGTGAGGTGACACCACCGCCAAAAACAAACGCTCGGCGCGTTCGGGAGTCGGACTATCGGCACGCGCAGTCGATGTCGATTCACACAGAAGTGAACGATTACGGATTTTGGTTGGCTTTGTTGGCGGTGATATCGATAGTGTCGAAGCAGATCACGCTCTTGACTGTGTTCCAGTCTGGCTCGCTCAACACGCTCGTTAACGAACGATGGGGTAGTTGGCTCGGCTTCATCTCGCTCTATGACTCACGATTGGAAGATGCCTTGGAAACGAGTAGAACATGCTGCGCGTGGCCTTATGTGCTCGATGCCGCTGGCACATTTTGTTACGACGCCGGCGTGATTGCATCTGCTTCAAATCAGTTTCCTACTAGAGCATGTCTTACTTTTAGCACAAATTGGTACATCTTCGGAGTGTATTACATGGTGGTGATTTTCGCCGTACTGCACGGATTCCTGCAGAGGCGACACAATGTCAAAGCGCAAATGAAGACAAAGGCGGCGACGGCGAGCTCTGTACCTCGCGCGAGCTACTGGGCAAAATTGCGTGGAGAAGTCCGAGGCTGCGATGCCGCAAAGAAGCTCAAATTACTCATCATTGCCGAGCGCATGAAGAAGTACGCAACTCCAGAGAAGAAGAAGAAGATCGCGACGAAAGATGAGGGATTCTCTCCGATGGTTGCGCAAACGCCAATTCGTGGAGAAGAAGATGTTTTCGCTGATTTGCAAAGGGCCCTAAACGACGCGAATTCAGAAGAATTGGCGAGAACGGCAACGGGGAAAGAGCACTTAGGCTGGCGTGCGATGGTCGTGCGCGCCGTGCATCGCTTCGTACATTGGGATCTCCGGAGCAAGTTTGAAGTGTTGGACTCTGTTATTGACGAGTTGGGGAGTTTGAAGTATCTCCTTGCTATGGCGGTGTTGCTCATCAGCGCCTTCCTCAAATCTGACGTCACGAGCTCGGTTTACATCATCATACTTGGATACTTTTTGACGTTCAATAATCGCGACGGTATCGTTCGGTTCCAATCTCAAGGCTACGCAATCGTGCTTATTATTGGCGCCGTCTTGGTTGTTCACGTTCTTGCCGCTCTTCGTCTGCCATCCCTTTGGTTGGGGACTAATTACTGCGAGAACTGCCCTGAAAAACGTTTCTGGCTAGACGTCGGCAGCTGTCCATCGTCTTCTATCTACGCTCCATCGCCGCCACCTCCTGCATCCGCATCGACGTACAGTTGCAACTCCAGGCCTGTTTGGGTGCAGGCTTATGAAATCGTCGCCGACGTCCTCGTCATTTTACTTGTCGCGCACTACGTGCGCCGAGGGCACAAAAATATGGTGCGCGCTGACGTTCGCGCGGCGTGGATGCGCGGATACATGCGAGCAAAAGGTCAGCAAATGGGTAACAGTTGGGTACATTCTGAGCAATTCACTCGCCTCGCCGACAAAGTGAACAAGCGTCTCGCGGAGCGACGCAAACTGGACGAGACCGCAGAGCTCTCTTTCGATGAAAAAGTCAAACTGTGGGATAATGTCAGCGCCCAACTAGAACAATACGTTCCAGTTCCTGAGAAAGCTCAAGAAAGAGAGGAAATGAAGCGCGCAGAGTGGACCAGCCGACGCCTATCGCGTCAACTCACGTACGCCTCTGAGACACAGGCTATTCAGAGAAGATACTCATTTGCATCGATTGCGAGCATGGCGCGTCGTGACAGAAAGTTACAGCAATACGGAAGAAGTGAAGCTCTGATGACGCAATACTTCCATGGATTGTTCCACAAGTATTTACTTATGCTTATCGTGATTCTCACGTACGTGGCAACCGTGTCTCAAGGAAAGAGTGATTTTGTCTCCTTGGGTTACGCCTGCATCTCAATCCTATTTACAACCAGATACAATGGCTTACGTATAAATGTGCGACTGTTTCCGACGCACAAGCATGGATGGTGGAACGGCGAGCTATTTCGTCTTCTACCAACGTATATTTTTCTGGTCTTGACGTCCAAGCTCGTGTATCAGATACCTTATCTGAAGCCGAAGCTGCTTAGCGGCACGACAGCATTTGTCGGAGCCTGTGTAGAAGGTACGCGCAAGTGCGAGACTATAAACTCTTTGTTCGGCATTCGCAAGCTTGGATCGGCGTGTGATGCGAGCATGCTCGCATCGGATTGCGTGCCAGTGTTGTCTTTCAGATCCGGATCCATCGGCGTCGATATCATACTGTTCATCCTCTGCTCAGTACAAACGCAGTTGTTTTCGGATGAACGATACGTTCGAGAAATCTTGAAGTTGGAGAAACAGGAGCTCGATAGGGTCGCACGTCGAACCTTATTCTACCGTAAATACGTCCTGGGTTGGAGGGCGAAGACTCAGCGAGAAATGGACAGCGAGTATCAGACAATTGCGGACAAAGTGCGTCACAGTGCATCGGCGACGGCGGAGTGGACTCAATTTCAACGATTCAGAAAATCGGTCGATCACGAACAAATGATAACTACATACGTCCCGCATAGTGTCACCGTGGTGCCGAAGAGTGCGACAACTGTGGAGGTATCATGGAAAATGGATTCAGCCGCGCGCGACATCGAGCAATTTGCGATAAAGCGTGAACGTCATCCTCGAACGACAATATTCCCACACTTCGTAAATCCAGTCAGAGTAGATGTTGATCCAGAATCACGATCAGCTTGCAAGGTGGTGGTGGCCGATCTCACGCCTGGTGCTAACTATGCGTTCACTGTTCAGGCGTGCTCAAAAAAGTACGGCTATGGGCCTGATTCAAAAGAATCTGGCGTCGTGACAATGCCTCTGCGAGAGGACGATGACGGCGGTGATGAGCCGAGCACCGAAGGTACGTTCGTCACTGTAATCATGCGAGGTTACCGATTTGCGATGGACGCGTTTTCCACTATTCTCGACCCAGCGCTGTACCCGCGTCCACAGAAAAGTGGCGACAGCGAGTGGACTCGCAAGGGTGATTGGGGCGACTCAAACATTATCACCGGACTTGGAAAAATCATATTTTCACAAAGTGAGTTACTAGTGTACATCAGCGTCGTTTTGAACTTCGTTGATCACATGGATTTGATGAGCATCTGCGTCGTATTATTTCTCGTGTCGTTTGCGGCGATGTGGAATCCGCATCCATCGCCAAGGACGTGGATGGGCATTTTCTGGTACTCGGTGGGTGTTTACTTCGTTCGCATGTTAGTTCAGAGCAGGGTATTCTGCATGCAGCTGAAGGATGGTGCGAGTGCGGATGATCGTAACAGATGGTACATTAGCGCGCAGCCGAGTTGTCCGACATCGACGCTCTACGATCACCGCGTCGACGGCTCATACAGTACTCTCAGCGCGACACTCCTTACGGTGCCCCGTGGTCGCTCAAAGGTTCGCGATGAAGTATGGACCGACATCATACTCATATTATCGCTCGTGTTACACCTGGCGCATCTGCGGGCTTTAGGGCAAAGATCGCACCGAGATACCAAATTATTGCACCCTCGCAAAGACTACGAGGAGTTTAACAAGGTACTTTTCGACACGGATGATGATTTACGCCTTCTCAGATCGACCACGCCGACTCTTCCGAAGATTGGAGACGATGTAGAGCCCGTGAAACAGGGATCTATGGAAAAGCGTCCCAGCCAGCTTTCGAGGGAGCAGCGCAAGCTCAGGAGACATATCGGGAAGTTTCTTGGAATGTTCGGTCGTATAAAAAAGTTTTGGTACTTTGTGGCGAGAACGTTCTTTACACTGATCGAGCAGATTTGTCTACAAAATTCGGCAAAAGTTCCAAGACAAAACGTGGGAAAGCCCGGTGTCGATCTACACGCTTTGGAAGTGTTTCTTCAGCTGATTATTGGGATTTGGTTCGTCACTGATTACAATAACTTGGTGTTCGCTTCTGGTACGGCGTTGAGCTCGACTGAATCTTTTGGAACGGGATTGACGATATCCATCGCATGTTCTGTTGCCTGGATGATCCTGACACGCTTAGTGTATCTTACCCGAAATGTCCGGGCCAAGCTCTTCCTGCATATGACCGTGAGTGCGCTCTACGTATTGCTCATATTCTTATTCCTTCCGTTGCTTGACTCGCGGGCGTACATGTCTCCGCGGCACAACTCCCATCTGAAGTGGTTCACCGCTTTGATGCTCACATACTTCTTCGTCAGCGCGATGCAGTTGAGAGAGGGGTTCAGAGAGGGGAGCCAATTCAAAATCATGATTATGCGTTTCGGACCTTCGAGCTTGGGACGTCTTCTGTACAGCTTGGTAAACCTGATACCTTTTCTGTTTGAGATTCGTTCCTTGCTCGACTGGACGGTGAGCGACACGAGCCTGGACTTTTTTATGTGGTTCCGTTACGAGGCGTTATACTACGCCCTGCACAAGACGTCGCTGGTGATCTCTTTCAGAAAGAACAAGAGGCAGTACTACGGCGGAGCGAGACCGGTCCCGCGGGTGCTAAAGATCATATTGGGCGGCGGAACAGTGGCGATCATAATCCTGCTCCTCACAGGTCCGATCTTCATTTTCAGCACGTTCAATCCAGCCTTGGAGAGTAACAGAGTCGATACGGCGCAGATGAGCGTTCAGCTAGACGTCGTTGCGAACGCAAAGACGGAGCGACAACAGCTCTACACCGGTTTCGCCACTGGGTATCCCATGTCGTCAGACTCTGAAGACGCCATCAAGGAGGAGCTCCTCTCGAGCCTCACGTACAGAAGCATTGACTCCGACTGCGTGCGCTTCCCCAGGTATTCGACGACTCCCTGGATCTCACCCATCGATGCGAGAACAATGCTCGCGTCGACTTTGACCACGACGGCGTCCGCGTCCGAGTGCAAGGCGACGTTGACATTTTCAGCGGAGTTCACAAGGAACGGTCCGCCGAAGGCGAAAGCGGTGTCCATCAATTTGGTATCGAGTCTATCGAACGCCGATTGCTCGGCGCTCGCGACGATCATCAACAACGGTAGCGGGAGTTTGGTGTTGAACGCCGTCGTGCCGCGCGGATTCCACCTCACGCCCGCCACGGATGTAGAGATCCTAGATCGAGTGACCTCGGCGTACATCGGAGTCAACGTTTCGCTCACGTCGACGACTCGTGACTACATGTGGTCAGTCACTCCAACGGGGACGTATTTCCCTTCAGTCTTGAACGATTTCTGTGGTACAGATGTGAGTACACCATCGACCGATCGGGGGGTGTTATTCGCCACCGTTAGCGATCGTTATCTCGTCGGATTGGTCACGTCTCTCGGATTGTCGAGCTACAGTATCCGCGCGCTGTACGCCTTTGTGTTCATCACGGTCGGATACTTTGTCCGTTCGCTCTTCAAGTTCCAGCTGGACGACGCGTTCATCAACGAGATATCAAACGTCGACGAGCTCGTCAACGTCTGCAGAGGTCTTCGACTGATCCGAGCTCTGGATTATCCCGGGCGCAGACGAGACGAGATGAAAATGTACTACGCGCTGATGCGAATGGTTCGCGAGGCCTCGATGCGACGCGTGCTCACGAGAAACCCGGATGAGATTTGAGCGCTCAGGACGCGCGCATACAATACAATAGTACCGGTACCTACTGTACATTAATACAAACCGAACGCGTGAACGCCGGCTGACGCGCGGAGCGCCGTCCGACGTCTACGCGACGCGCTCACGATTGAGAAATGCGCCGCTTCCTCGACGCGCTCGACGCGGCGCGAAGCGCGCGCACGATGCCCTCGCGGTCCATGACGCCAAACTCAAACATCCCAAACATGGTTCGCAAAAAGTAGTTGAAAAAATCTTCTCGCGCGAGGTCTCGCCCGTGCGCCCTGGCGAACGCCTCGCACAGCGCCGCGCTCTCGCACTCCCCCAGGCAGTTAAACCGTCGAGCCACCGCGTTCCACTTACACATGAAATCCACCTCCTCCGCCGCGAGGTCCACGAACTCGTTGATCAGCGGCGCGTCCTCTCGATCCCCCGCCGTCTCCTCCGCGTCCTCCGTGTCGCTCGTCGGCGTCCCCGTCTTCTTCACGAACGTTCGCGAACTATAAAACCACCCCTCCGCTCGCGCCATCGCGTCCACATCGTCGCCCACCCCCGACGCCCGTCGCGCGCGCGCCAGAGCGTCGACCACCGTCCGTCGCGCGTCGTCCGCGTCCGACGTCTCCGCGCTCGCCCGCGCGCCGCCGCGCCGCGGTCCACCATCGTTCACCGTCCCGCTCGGCGTCGCCGCGCCGGACCGACACGCGCTCGATGCGCGCGCGCGCGCGTCCGACGCGCCCACGGCGTCGTCGCCGTCGCGTCCAGGCGTCGCGCGCATCGACGTCGGTCGAGCGACGAGGGCGACCTCGCGCGCGTACAAAGGCCCTCGCGCGTGGAAACCCGCGCACACGTCCACGGCGAAGCGCTCGACGTCGCCGCCGTCGACGCGGAGACGCGTCGGGTCGCAGAGCGCGGCACCGCGGTCGGGGGCGTCGACGCGGGACATCGCGCGCGCGAAAGTGCGGCTGACGCGTCGCCGACGCCCGCGACTTTGACGATGATGCGTTCGTGCGTTACACCGCGCGACGACGCCGCGTCACCGCGTCACCGCGTCGACCCGCGTCACCGCGTCTCTCGCGCCGCGCCCTCCTCCGCCCGGGCGAACCGCCGCGCCTTGGCGTAGCACTTGTTACACAGCAAATCGCCCGCCGCGCACCACGCGCTCGCGTACCTCGCCGACATCACCCGCCACTGCGACGTCGACGTCTCTCCGCACCGCGCGCACGCACTGCGGTCGCTCCGCGCGCATTCGAGCGCTCCCCGACCCTTCATGAGCGCTCGTTCCCGCGCGTCCGCCCGCGCGTCCCGCGTCTCGCCCGCGTCCCGCGTCCGCGCCTCTAAAAACCTAAAATCCACCGGCGCCCGCGCGCGGTCCACGTCCTCGAGCGCGCGCGCGTCCACGACGCCCCCCCCACCGTTCGTCTCCGCCGCGACCGCGGGCGTGGTCCACGCGCGGCTTTCGAAGAACGCCCCCGTGGGCGCCCGAGTCGTCGTCGCCGCGCGCGCGTCGCTCGTCGTCGTCGTCGTCGTCGTCGTCGTCGTCGTCCCACCGTCCTCCGCATCGCTCGACGCCCGCGCGCGCTCCATCGTCCACGCCCACGCGCGCGCGGTCGTTCACGCGCGCCGTCGAGACGGTCGTCCGCGATGATGAACGATGATGATGATGCCGTTGCGTGATGATGATGAATTCCAAGAATCCACCGCGTCTCGATCGAATCACACCGCGACGCCCCCCACGCGCGCGCGCGGACGCGACCGTGGACGCGTCGTCGCGCGCGCGCGTCGAGCGCTCGTGCACGGCGTCGCTCGGTGCGATGCGATGGGCGCGATGGGCGCGTGACCACCGCGTGTGTTCCACACAGGCGTATTCGTCACACAGTACTGTCTCTGCGGCCGTAGTACGTCATACATGAACGCGATCAGTCGGTGATGTCGACATCCACGCGTCGTCATTGATCATATCCCTTCTACAATACGTACACTGTGGTCGTACACCACGGTGTGTGTACCCGATGTCACCCTCGACCCACGACGGGGTCGCGTGGTCACACTGTTCGCCCACACGTCGTCGCGTGGTCACACTGTTCGCCCACACGGGGTGATACACACCCACACTGTTCGCCCACACGGGGTCGCGTGGTCACACTGTTCGCCCACACGGGGTCGCGTGGTCACACTGTTCGCCCACACGGGGATCACACACCCAGACTGTTCGCCCACACGAGGATCACACACCCACACTGTTCGCCCACACGCGGAGACCACACACGCGGTGGTCGCGCCGCGCCGTCGCCGTTCGTCGCCGCGCGATGGCGCGCGAGGGCGAGCGATACGTCCCCCGACGCGTCCTCGTCACCGGTGGCGCCGGCTTCATCGCCTCCCACGTCGTCGATCGCCTCCTGGAGCGACGCGAGACGCGAGAGGTGACGATTCTCGACGCGTTCGAGCGCAGCGCGTGCGCGCGAAATGTCACGGACGACGCGCGATGTTCGGTCGTCGCGGGCGACGTGCGCGACGGCGCGCTCGTGCGTGAGATTCTTCGCGTGAAAGCGATCGATACCGTCCTGCACTTTGCGGCGGAGACGCACGTGGACGCGTCGTTCGGGAATTCATTGGCGTTCACGGAGACGAACGTCATCGGCACGCACGTCGCGCTCGAGGCGGCGCGGCGGTGCGGGACGATTGAACGGTTCGTGCACGTGAGCACGGATGAGGTGTACGGAGAGACGTTGGTCGATGGAGGGTCGGAGGGGACGTCGGTGTTGGCGCCGACGAATCCGTATTCGGCGTCGAAAGCGGCGGCGGAGATGCTCGTCGTGGCGTACGGGACGTCGTACAATTTGCCGTACGTCATCACGAGAGGGAACAACGTGTACGGGCCGAGGCAGTATCCGGAAAAGGTGATTCCGAAGTTTATTCATTTGCTTCGAAGGGGGGCGCGGGTGCCGATTCACGGCGATGGGTTAGCGTTGCGGGGGTACATGCACGTGCGAGACGCCGCGGCGGCGTTCGACGTCGTCTTGCGGGCGGGTGAAAATAAAAGCATTTACAACATCGGCGCGCGAGAGGAGCGCACGGTGGTGAGCGTCGCTCGGGATTTGTGTGCGATATTCAATAGAAACCCCGAGGAGTTTTTAGAGTACGTCGAGGACAGGGCGTTCAACGACAGGCGGTACTTTGTCGACTCGAGCAAACTCGAGGAGCTCGGATGGCGACAAGAAATCGAGTGGGACGTCGGGTTGCGAGAGACCGTGGATTGGTATCATCGCGCCATCGACGAGCGGTATTGGGGCGACGTCGAGCCGGCTTTACAGGCGCACCCGACGCATCCGCCCACGCATTCACCGCCGACCCGTCGGTCGCTCGACGCCGCCGCCGCCGCCGCCGCCGACGCCGACGCCGCCGCCGACGCCGCCGTGTAAAGTCACTTCATTCCCACACGCATCATCCCCACGACGCCGCCCGCGACGCCTCGCCCGCGCACCACGCGCGGAATCGCATCACGATGACGGACGTCCGCGTGAGGCCGCGTCTCGCCGCGCCCGACACCGACGCGCGCGAAGGATGCGTCGGGCG